CTCTCTCTCTCTCTCTCTCTCTCTCTCTCTCTCTCTCTCTCTCTCTCTCTCTCTCTCTCTCTCTCTCTCTCTCTCTCTCTTTCTATCTTTCGCGAGATTTCCACCATAAAGCCGAACTGGAGGTTTCCCCTCCCCGCATCTGAGCGCGCGACAATTCAGAGGAAGAAAGTAGGCTTCGCCTGACCCTTCTTATTCCGTGAATCGACTTCACTATTACTCGTCACGAAAAAAAGAAGACCTCGCCAATCGTGCGCCGACGTGCTTTCCACCTCGTGGAAAGTTACGCGTGATGCTAAACCGCGCGCCGGGAAACGCGATCTCGCGTCCACGCGTGCGTTACGCGGAACCACCTAAATTTTTAACAGCCACGCGAAAAGATCGGCGCCGTTCTCCGTTCTCCGAGTTGTGGAACTTACGAATTCTTCCCGAGCAACGAGCACCGGGCGCGGGCACGCGACTGTTAATTTGTGCCAATTAATGCTAACGAATTCCGGCGGCGTTACCATCTTCGCGGATTAAGGAAACGCTGATTTCGTCCGGTGAGCATTTTTGCCGATCTCGATTTTTCGTCTTCAGTTACTTTCGGCGCGTTACAGCGTTTAACGGGACATCGGGAGAAAACAAAATTTCCGAGGAGGGACATTTTCAATCATTTTTTCTAATAAAATTTTTTATTTATTTTTTTATTTTTTCATTAAATCTTTTTGTGTTTTTTTTATTTTAAATTTATAAGAAAAAAATAGGTTATAATAACGTGAGTGAGTTTCTCAATTAGTGGTAACTTTTCTATCTCTTTATGTTCTATATTCTCCATCTTCAGTGAAAATTATGCCGCTCAGGTATTGTCTGAATTAACGGCTAAGTTGCCACTTCCAAATTGAAGCTGCATGGATATATCGGAATTTGCTACTTGCCGAAGTTGCTGTTGCTGCACACGGCTACGCCGGTTGCAATTATTTTAATGTAATTTCGCAAAGCAGAGGGCACACTGAATAGTCTGCAGAAATTTCAGCAAGATAACTTGGGGACCAACCAGGTCGCGGTTAATTTGCTCTTTTAGCAGCGAAGCTCCTAGCCGCATGCCAGCACTCGAGGCATTTTCGTCCCCGAAATTAGTTGAATCTTGCATCAAAGAAATCGTCCTTCTTTTTTCATCGTATATGCCATATCATCTTCAGACAGACATGCGGGAGTATTCTGTATCTTCAAATACGACAAAGCGCAGAGTAAGTCTAACTCGCAAGAGTAACTCGCATAAATCGAGAAAATATCGTCGAGGACTAACATTTGAGAGTGCAATAAAAAAAAGGCGGACGGAGATGCGTTATTGCGAAAGTTCGATTCTCTCCTGCGAGAGGCGATCCTTCGTGTGTGACAAGATAATTATCGTAAATCAACTGCGAGGCGTTGGACGCCTCGATATTGCCGCGGAAAGTCGTAGGGAAGGCTCTTCCGTCGCTCGTAAACCGTTCGTAATGGCATGCAGGTTGCAGAGCGACGAGTCACAAGAGAGAAAGAAAAGATAGTGGATAAGGAAGAACAGACGGGGGAAGAACAAACTGGACGAGAAATGATCGTGCGATCATCCACATTTCGTTATTCGTGCGATCTACATTGTTAGCGCGTCTGCTGTCGGCGTCGGTCGTCGGTTTGAGCAACAGCGGTAGGTTAATTAGCCTGATCCTGCGTGAAGTTCCCGTAATAAGCAATTCTCGTTTTTGCTCGTGTGTGAAGCGATGGAGCAATCGGGGAGATGGCTATCGTAGGCGAGGGCCTGGGACCCGCGTTTTATTCTCGCGGGTTCAGAAGCGACTCGTTAAAATTGGCGCTATTGGCGCAATCCTGCCGAAATGCGCCGTGACGCCTGTAATTTCATGCGGGATACAAGTCCGAAGTGAAAATCTTAGAGAAAGCTAATTTCTAAATAATACTTTTTCGTAAAAGTTAGGGAAGGGAAAATGCTCTCCTTTCTGTGTCTTTGACATCGTGGAGCAACATTGTTCCGACAGCTTTTATTATTATTCTTATAAAGGTTTATTTTATAAAAAAATTTTATCTCATCTCGTGTCTTTCTTTCCTCAATTTTTCAAAGGTGAAAACGAGAGAATTAAAATTCTCATTCGAGATTCCCACCAAAAAAAAACCTCTAATATCTTTATCTTTAAAAATTTCATGTGTAAAATTAAGTGGATGGAAATGGAGCGTTTTTCGATCGTCTCGCAATTTGCGCGATTTTCTTCTTAAAAGAGTAATAACGTAAAAACCGTGCTTCTCGTTGTGGACGTCGTGTGTGCGGCCGCAAATGGCAGTCACTTTATAATCATTAGCGTGAAATTCGATTCCCCGTCTGAGTGACGACGTGATAGGATGCCGGAGAGCACATCTACAATCTCGTCGTGCGAGCGAGAGGATGTCGGATGTCGCGGCAGGGGGAGGGAGGGAGGGAGGAAGGACAGATTGCACGGACCGCGGCGAGGTACAGAGATGCGAAAAGGGGGGCACGTGGAGTACCGTGTGTGTTATGACATAATTGTTTAAGAAAGTTCGGAATGCGCGCACCACTCGCACCTGTAGATGGAAGTAGTCCGTGCCGTTACGTTCGTTTCGCAAAGCTCGCCGTGCTATAATCATTCGACATCTGCCTTTTTGCCTCCTTTCGCACGGAGGTATATAATTGTATCATGCCCCCCTTCCCTCCCCCTCTCCCCCCACCCTCCCCCCTCCTCCGGGACACGTCAGCACGTCGGCACCTCATCTTCTACATTTTTACGATGCCAGTGACCTTCCCCTACTTCTCGAGCGCAGCCAAGCGGGGTCTCTCGTCTTTTCGCTGTTTCGGAGAAAATGGCGCGAGCTTTATTTATAAATTGAAAAAGAAAAAAAAAAAGATTATACTGCAGATGTATATCGTTGGAATCCTTTTTTTTTACGAAGAAAGACTTCTATGAATTTAATAGTATTCGGAAAGAAGTTCTCTTTCTTAGAAATCCAATTTAATGACTGACGAATATAATACTAGAATATTCAAAATACTTATTTTGAATATTGAAAGTATTATTGTTCAGTGCTTTTAATGCTCGAAAGTAAGTAATTAATCATCTTCCAGTATTAAATTTCTACAAGGATGCGCAACTTGCTGTGTCATCCAAATGTCAAAAATAAAAGAGGACGGTATCTCTCCTTTGTAATTTTTACGAGAAATAAATATTATTTATAGGTCTTCAACTTTCTCGAGGATTTTTACTTCTATCTATGGAATTATTTTTATTTTATGTCCTCAATTGGTATAATGAGATACTTAAATACTCGTGTGATATTTTACGGTTTCGATAATCTTCCTTTTTCCCCCTCGTCATGATTGTTATTGGTGAACGCATCATTTGAGATCCATATAGCCGAGCTCTAGAGAAAAAGAAAAAAGCACAAATTACCGCTTTTCGAAAAAGAAGAGGAAAAAATCACCCACGTAGAACTGGTACGTATATTTTTATCGAGAATTCTGTTGCCGCAACGTAGAATTAACGGTCTGGCTCTCATCGGGTTTCATCCACTGCCGGTCTCGTTCGGTCTAGTTTCATTGGGCAACACCTAGGTACGTGATTATCCAGCAAAACGCGTTCATTTTCGTTTCCGGTTCAGGACGACCGGTTCGTTCGGCATGCGTGAAACGGGAAAAGATAGAACTAGCCGTCGAACTATATTCCACAGGCCGTTGCTCCCCGTAACCGGACCCCGACCGTCGTTGCCGGCTGACCGTCGTTGCCGGCCGATCGTCGTAACTGCCGTTTCGTGAGCCAAAGTGCACGGCTTTGCGGTGTAAAATAATTAACTATCGGTTTACGATGTTACGGTGCCGGCCTGTTCCGGCATGAACTCCCGAGTCCCGCGAATGATCGCCGCGGACGGCGCGCGCGACCGCGCCATAAATCGCCAATTTCCTTCGCGCGCCGAGCACCAAGATTTTCACCCGGGGGAATATTACGTATTTGCGGATTACGAGTCAATTTCGTGTCACGATCGCCGCCACGGGTTTGAAAAAAAAAACGTGCGAGAATAATCGCACACTTCACGCCGCGGTTTCGCGCGCGAAGCGCATTCGCGAAACCCGATAATTTAACTCTGTATTTTTGTAGACCTAACTTTAGTACCTTTATAGCCTGTTATTATTCTTAAATGTTGTCTCAAGGACGTATCGAATGGGATACTTAGTGCGCAGTTCGATATTTCAACCGCAGGCAATTTTCAATCGTTATCTTTTTCGCATCGGCATGATTGCCGATAAATATCAGATTACTTAAACGGAAATTAATTAATTAAATTAATTAATTTGAAATTTAATTCGAGCGTCGAGATACCTACTTTAAAATGGCGATATTAATATATATTTATGTGAGATACATCCTCTTTGAATTGATACATAGTCACGGATATCAAATGGATTTTCAATATTCATCTATCGAAACACATCATTCTTAAAACTGGTCTTAGCTGAGTTTCTCGATAGAAACGTTATAAATACAAGTCTTACATTCACGTCGAAGCTACTTAGAGTTAGCTTTTACACCATTTATCTAACGGAGCTGAACACTGACTCATTCCAGAGTTCTGTCCTTTTTATCAACGTGAGTTAAATACTCGATCGAGAAAGATATAACAAGAATTTTTGCAATAAGAATTTCTTATAGGAGGAAAGGAGTTAACGGGTATCATTAATTTTAATTATCGGTTTATTAAAGAGGAAAGCTATAGCTCTGGTTTTGGATTACCACTTTCCAAGTTCATTAAAAAGTAAAAATTAAATCTTGAAGGAGCACGTAATTGGTGACAGTATTAATTGTTCTTGAATTTGTATTTAAATTCAGAAATAAAAAGATTATTGGAGAATGCTAAAAATTGCCGAATATTGTCGATATGTCACTCCTGTGTCGAATATATATGCTCGTTTTATAATAATGAAAAATATAAATAATAATAAGAGAACGTATTAATAGGAAGATACTTGGTTAAAATGAAAAATTGAAAGTTGCATTTATTTAAATATTTAGTATTTAATCTTGAAGAAGATTTATTATTCTGAACTGGCATAGCTGTGCGTGAGAAAAAGTACATTTTAAATTACATATAATGAAAAGTAGACGCAGAATGAAACGTATATGCGAAAAATAATTATGCTAATTACTCGGTGTGGAAGTAGTTGTAACTGTCATTTATGCAACTCTTCACAATTTAAAAACATATTTTAATTGTAAACAGAAAATTACAGACGCGAGCGACGGAAAGCGCTTGTGAAACATATATGTTACAGGATACACTACCAAGTTTCAGGTTGACTATTACGAATATCTGCGAAAAGTGTCGCTTTGGAATGTAAGCTAGATATTCAGTACGTCGGTAACCATGATGGACAAATCGACACCGACTCGCGCTTCGAACATTTTACATGCAAGCTTTTCGACTTTGTTCTTTGATATCCAATCGTCAAAGTGGCTAACGAAACTTTTAGAATCAATTCGATTTTCTATGCATTTTCTCGCTCAAACACTTCTCTTCTGACACAAAAAAATTCAGGTTTCATAAAGAAAAAAAGAAAAACGAATTACTTGTAATTACACACACCACACACACGCGCGCGCACACACACACACACACACACACACACACACACACAAAATTGCGCGCGCGCGTGTGTGTGTGTGTGTATGCAATTTTTTTTAAGAAACTATTATTAAACCGCGAGAAACCAAATTCAGATTTCAAGATTACGTTACGAAAATACTAAATTGATTTCCACGATCCATTTATACAACCGTGTCACGTTGCAAAATTGGTTTCAACTGAATTTCTCAACAGAGAATTTCTTAACGTGATTATTAAACTTATAAAGTCTGATTAAATGTAATTCTGAATCTATTATTCGTTATTTTCTTTTTTTTTGGAAAATAAAATATTACCGCTTTTATATCGTACAAATTTTGGTTGTATAAATCGCATTAAGGACTTTTGTTTTTCGGCCGTTCCGTTTCCCTTTTCTGAAGAAAAGCTCTTTTCTGAAAAAAAACTTTATTAAATTGTACATTATGAGGCAAAGTTTCGCGACGTCTATTGAATTTTCTAGAGATTTTTCGCAATTGACTTAATTACAATATTTAATACATTTAATACATTTCTATCGCGCTACTAAACATGTAAGAATTTAATTTTATCAGTATATATTAAAATATTTAAACTAAAAAACGCGCGGTTGTTTAAAAAAGAAGCCGATTTTAAATTTATTATTTTTATGGAAATTCCTTGTTTTATTTTCAGAAATGACATTATTTTCTAAGTTTTGACTTGGAATCTTGATGAATATAAAATCTTGTTTTTCATCAGCATCGACCTAGAGATCTAAAACTAAGTTTCGAGTTTCGGCTGAGAATAGTAAACATTAGAATAATTTTGCGCCACTCGAAGGAAATTACGAACAAAGCTAATTATACTATCATAGCAATATACAAAATCACATTAAAGGAATAGAAAGTTAAAGGATCTATTTCAAACGCAACAGTGCACAAGAAAGAAGTTATCTCGCATTATCTGTAAGACGAAAACTTATATTTATTTGTTTGCTCAATTTTAAATTTAAAAAGTGAACTTGTTTAATGAAAGTTTTGATATGAAATATTCTTTGCACGTGAATAAAGTTTTTTGCCTGTTAGTCGCCTGAAAATTTCCTATTTTCCACTAACTCTCGGTAGGGAAAACAAACGGAGCGCCATCCCTGTCTATTGATCGATCACCGGCTCCGCTAAAATGGCACTAGGGGTGATATTCAGGTGCAGTCCGATTGTCCAGAAAGGATCAGATTTTCTCACGAAACTCTTTACAAGTATTCGTAACTCTTCCTCAAGTATTCGTACAAAGAATTCATTAAAAATGTAAGTTATTTGTATAATTAAACGAATTTATTCTTAACAAGTATATGTATCGAATGTTGACACAGGTTATGGAAAGTACTCTCACTTAGGGATAATTAACGATGCTGAGAACAACATCCCTAATTCGATTTGGCGCTTTAATTTTTGAGATAGTGAATTAATAACCGTCAAGGTTTATTCGTTCTTTATTCGCTAATTTGATTGATTAATCTAAATTTCTAAATTTAATTAATAATTAATTTAATTAATATTATTCATAATTCTTTCAATTAAATAATAATTAGGCATAAAATTTACGTAAACTTTCTGACAGAATAATCAATACCCAATTTAATTATTCAAATTAAAACATTTATGAGGTGATATTTGAAAACGATTTATATTTAATATTATTAAGTTTCTGTATATATTTATTTAAAAATTTGTAATAGTCGCGTTAGCTTAGTTAAATTAATTTTATAGTTATTGATTGGTGATTACTATAGTAGAAGCTTCTACTCCAGGTAATTTCTCAGCAGGCTTAAGAGGAAAGCTGTTCATCCAAGATGCAGGAGCGATAGCGTTGCCGAAATGCAATGCAACCGGATGCTCGGCGCCATTCTGTTACAAGATCTATTTATTTAATCAGGTGCGGTATATACGGAATATTAATTTCGTTAATTACATAGTCTACGTCGTAGATTACATCGTTTTATATACCTGGTACATACTCGATATACTATTTCATTTGTGTGAACATGACGATGAACGACAAACACGTTTCAGTTGAAGGAGGATGACATCGACGTGAGATTAATCTTCAAAGATTGTCTTATGTAGCCGAAACAATCGACCATGTAAAAAAAGAGTAAGGAGATTAAATTTTTACTTTTGAAAGACAAACGAATAGGCAGATTACCGAGATGATCGTAGTTGTACGTAATTAAAGAATATGTGTCGCAGTGATAACTTTCCGTGTTTAGCTTCTTAGGCTACACTCTGAAGAAGTTGAAGTAGATGGTGTAGCATAATGGTTGCGCGAATAAATAATGGAAAGATGTTGTAATGGAAAGGCACAAAAATGATAGATGCATATAATACATAAAAATGAGTTAAAAAATGCATGTACTGCAGTTTCCCAGGGATGAGGAAGATTCCGATGAGGAATACGATACTCCGACGTTTTCGGAAGTTGTCTTTCGATGTTGTTTACAGTCATGTACTTGCTACAATATTGTTATAATGTTGGTAATAATAATATTATATATAGTGAAGAAAGAAGACGTTTTATCAAAATTAATAAAATAATCTGTATAATATATATTTTATTCGAATAATACAATTTTTTTAATGAAGTGAAAGAATATTTAATATTGATATATTTAGTTACACAAAATTTTATTATTTCAAAATATAGAACTTAAAGTATCCTTAAAGAATACTTTAACGAATTCTTAAAGAAATTAACTTATATATAATTTAATTAAACAAAAAATTTAATTAAGCAGAAGTTAGTCTTGTAATTTTCCTTTTAATATGAATTATTTGTATTATAATATAATCCTGTTATTATTTATTGAAATTGTGAGAGCTAAAAAATATATATTAATGTAAAAAAATGTATAAGACAACGAGTGCATTGATTAATGTTGCAAAATTTATAATTTAATTCAAAATATCCATAAATGATGCTTACTGCGCTTTGCAAATCCTGATAAGCGTTTTCCATTCCTTTGTCATTAAGGATTATTGAATATTCCTTAAGTTTATCCAAAGCTTCATCAAACGGTGTTTTATACAACTTTCTAGGATTCCACAATACATCTTTACAATTTGCTTTGCGATAATGAAGCCAGGCAGTGATGAATTTGAGAAAATGACAGGATATTTGTTGTATATTAACATTAAAGATAAGCTCGTAATTACTCATTACAGTACAAAGATGTTGCATTAGTGTAGGTACATTAACATTACAAAATTCTAATAGAGTCAGCAGACTTTGATACACTATATCTTTTGATATCGGGTCTTTCTGTAAAAAGATAAAATTAGCTGTGTCAATTGTAACAATACAATAATTTAAATATTATAATGAAGAAAATGTTTCCATGCTTCTTCAGTTTTGCGTTTTTCAATATAACTGACTTGTGGGAGAATAAGATGAAGCATCTCATAGAGATTAATTAGCATATACACATCATCCGTTTTTGTCGTGATATTTTGCAAAATGATAGCCGATTTATTATTATCTGATGTTAAAAGTTCACAAATAAATAACATTTCGTTTACTGTCCAGTCCGGTGATATTCTTGCATAGTTTAACATCTGAACCAAATCTTTTATGTGGACCTTCAATGGCTTTCGGCACTGAGAAATAGATTTATTATGAAATATTTAAAAGTTTTATTTAAAATTTTTACATATCCAGTTCATAATTATTATACATACTTTTATTAACGATTCTTTTTGACAATGAAGAATATATGCAAGAAGTTTTATGCTTGCCGTAGATAATTGCGATCTTTGTTCCGAAAATCCATAAACGTATAATTGTTTCAATAACAGAAATTTTTGTATATATATTTTGAGCACTATAAAGCAAAGCAAATTTTATTGAAATTTTTTGTTTAAATATTTTCATGTCTATAAACAATGTACGGTTTTTATCAAAATAATTATTTACTTTTATGAATATTCTTACCTTCAAATGACTTGCATGATACAGCGGCATCTAATAAAATATATGCTTGCGTTAAGAATAAAGTCATCAGTTTCGAATCTATGTTCTTCTTTAATATAATATTAACGATATAATCGGCACTGCGTATTATAAAAGGTATCGGTATTGTGGATGGTCTGGTAATATTAGCTAATTCCAGAACTGTGTCTATATGCGCGACTGCAAATATAATTTAACAAATGCTTTAATTTTTTTAACATTAGGTAACTTTAAATATAAAATAAGATAAATAGATCAAAATATTTCTCGTTAAATTTAATATTTTTTGGAAAGTTTATTGAATTAATTTGGCAAACCATAATCTGATTGATACGATGAAAGAATATTAGGTAACATGCGCCACACTTTATCCGCGACTTGGTCTATAAGCTGTTTATCATCTTTCATAATTTGAATGAATTGACGAAGCCCTTTCGCAGCAACGTGGATAACACTTGTGAAATAATCGGTATGTATCACCATCTATTTATAAGTGATTAAAAAATTATTACTTAATATACAAATATTTTCTAAAAAAACTATTAAATATCATAACTTAATTTAAAATACTATACTTAATAAAATACTTAATACTTAATAGAAATACTTAGTAGAAATACTTAGTAGAAATACTTAGTAGAAAACTACACTTAAAATTGTTTATTTAATTAAAAACAGAAATATTTACAAAGATATGTGATTAAAAACATTACGTCTTCTATTTACATCTTATATTTACATCTTCTGTTTTCTTTTATTGATATCGTATAGAAATAAATATTCTGCTTACCAATAAATGTTGAACAACTTTATTACAATTGAATAATAGCGGCTTGACATCACCATCGGATTCTATCAGCCATAAATTTAAAATTTGATTCATCAAGTTTTGCGAAATGTTTGGACATTCAAGACAGTAGCGTAAAAGATCGATATGATGAGTATAAAATTTGCTGATATCTAAACGTTGTAAAATATTCATTAATTTAGTAATCGCGTTTTCATAATGATATAATAAATGAGGGCGAGGATGAGCTAGAGATGTTACCTGTGAAATCAATACATAGCAATCAATCTAGTGTATCTACAAGTAGATACACATTCATATAAAATAAATATGTACTCACAGCAAATAAGAATAATAAAGGTTTCAAAATTACATCTGAAATCGGCAAAGTCCTTGGGAGTAGCATGATCCTTGCAATTAATGACTCCAAGGATACTACATTGCTTCTGAAAAGTGACATAAAGGTTAGAACGTTGAAAAGAAATAAGACAGTAATATAGAAAAATATAGTCCTTCCATACTCTTGAGTGCCAAAATAATGATAGTATAGCAAAATTATGAGGATCGATCCATTCTTTTCGCGGCTTGCTACGACGTCATTCCATCGTTCTTTCGGATCTTTTAATAACTCTACAAGATTTCGTTGCAAGATATTTGCAAGCTGTATTTTATTTATAGAGAATGCCGCTTTGCCGAGAGTGCTCAAAATACGTGATAGTAACGTGCAGATACTCCTTCGTAAATTCTCCCTATAAGCGAACCGTTGCTTGCATGCTATTTTGTTGTGAATTTAGATATGCATTTTTAATATATAAGAGACAAACTTCAGCAATATTATATATCACGCCCAATTTATTTTACAATATTGCAGAACTTAGAAACTTATTGAATATCTTCAGAATTGTATATAAAGTGCAAAACATGCGTCTACATGCTCTACATACTTCTTAAGCTGGAAGATTATTCTTAGAGTCCACAAGAAATGAAAGTTTAATGAGGTTTGTCAGCTTACAACGTTGAAAGCATCCCGAACGGTTTCGGGATCGCATCGAATAGTTAAAATAAAAATAAATAGATCCTTTTTAATATGAAAATTTAAACGATCTAGGAAAACCAAAAGAATTAAGAATATTGAATATATTTGCAAACTCATTCCCATTGCTGTTTGTTTATGTGGGTGTCGCGCAAGTTCATTAAGAAATATATAGCATAGAGCATATAGGATACATGCAATTGCGATTGGCGATTGCAACATGATTGTATTGATCCATGCAGATTAGAAACGGCGCAACTTACGGAACCGACACAGACAAGTACAAAAAGCGCTTCAGATAACCATTGACAGTCAAGTGGTTCGACAGGTCGTCTTTATTACAGTTCTTCAGCTGATACAAGTTATTTAAACAGGAGATGAGGCTTCTGTGAAAGCCGATCGAGTCTACGCGAGACAAATCTGCGTTCTACCAAAGGAATATCTTTATCAACGTGGTGTTCGTGAATCACTCTGTAAGATATATCTTACAGAGTGAGTCACAATATCATCAATATATTTTCAATTATATTATTTTTTTTAATTTAACAAACGTACTTTTGCGCATAATGGAATAATTAAATCCATCATCGTATTATATACACAACTTTCTAGTCTATCTATCCTCTGACAAATCTTGAGCTGAGACTGAGTTTGATTCTCTTCGCTCGAATCCTGCATGAGGCAAAATCTGGCAAGGAAAAATATATAATAAAAGTGATTTTGATTTCGAGAAAGGTAAATTGTTGAGTGAGAATTACCGTGAACTACAGGCGCAAGTACTGCATAATAAATCGGCGGCAAATAAAATCGTGTTATCGTCATCGCCATATTTGACGATATCTGTCATCGATTTTAATGCATTGTGACAGATGTCGATGATCGTTTCCATATCGGTATCTTCATCAAAGGTTTCTTGTTTTTGAAGAACGACGTTTAACATCGTCACAGCCGCAAATTTCAGATCATCCTTCTGCAAATCTTTGATATTCAGATTCTTCACGAAAAATACAACTTGTTGCAGAATGCAGCTTGTGTCGAGGTTCACATCTAATTTTAACGATCTAAAAGTATGTTTCAATTAACGTTTCAATTTTACTGCGTTTAACATAATGATTATGATTACTTTGGTAAATCATTGTTTGACAATTAATCAAAACGATAATATTTAGATAGATGTGTGATAAATATAATGTTCTGTGAACATTAAAATCATAAATGGCGATAAATTAATCATAAATAGCGATTTACATATTATGTAATATATAATTAATTATTATAATTAATGTAATCACAAGTATATGTAAGATAATATTCTGACTAGAACACATTTTTATGATAAATAAGTAAAGGAATATACTTAGCAAGTATATAGGAGACATTCTCCACGAGCTTCTCAAACAGTCTCGAGTTTTTGAGTGATTTATGTATACAGTAACTGAGTCTTAACATTGATTCTACGGCGATTATGGCCGCTTGATTTTCGTAGAACTCTTTGTAGGCACTCACAATCTTGAAACATTCGAGAACAGCTCTGTAAACAAAATCATTACAGGAACACTTTATAACACATTCATAATTCATACGAGAAATCTTGAATTTGAATAAATACGTAAACGTCAAATTTTCTATCGAGTTAGAGAAGAGTTGCATACTTAACAAAATCTTCATCCGAAGTCTGCATCATGTTGCACATAACGAATATCACGTCGAATTTGACGAGTTTTTCGACAATGACGTTTCTCTTGGATTCCTCTGTTTTCTCCAAGAACTTCAGTATCTCCTTCACGACCTAATTTCGTTGCGAGAAAGAAAGATTAGAGGGGAAAATTAATGAAATTAACTATCAACTATGTTTCGACGAAGCTGTCGATGTTTCGTATGTGCGAACGTGAACGGTTTGGCCGATTTGTCTCGTTTTCACTTCTTTCCGCTCCACTTCCGATTGATCGCCCTCGATTCGTGCGTTACGCGTTCGCATTACGGAAGGTAAATACCGTCGTAATTTCGCCGAGTTCATATTTAGACACGAAAATGCAAGCAAGTCCTTTCATATCTGTTTTTGCGTTGTGTCGAATTAATGAGACACGATGTCAGACACAGGACTCCTTTTTGCGCGTCTGCACCTCTGGCGACAAAACTCGGCGGAATTATAGCTTGATTAAGATGAAAGTTATATTTCTACTAAAGAGAGTAAGAGTAAAAAGCCGAGGGAAACGTATGTCGCGTAATGTCGTTACAAGTTAAGTCGAAGTTGAAGACATTTTACCAGATAAAAATATATACCACTTGTCAAAAGTTTCAACACACATTTCATAAATATTTTATATTTTAGATTTTATTATTAAAATATCTATTTGATATAATATAGAAAAGAAATAATTTTTATATAGTTTGTATCTCTTTTGTATTATATCAATAAAATAGTTTTGAAAAGCTCATCTGCTTTGTTATCTGTAATTTAACCGGAAGAGATATTGTGTGGTGAAATCTCTTAAACAAGTAGCGTATGTATTATTATGTACATAAAATATATTTTTCGGTATATTGATCTTCGTAGTCTGACTAATACGAAAATTGCATTCGATGCAAAAATTGCGCAATTGAGCAATTAAAAAAGGCACAAACTGCGCAAAAAAAGGTGCATTACAATCGTGGCGTATATATCGTATAGGTTTCTCTTGTACCTGCGCTTTTCCTGACATTAATCGGTTTTTCAAATATGGCAGTAAATCGTTCACGTTATCTGCACACAAATTGAATAGCGCCTTCATGATTGAGTGAATTGTTTCCTACGCATCGATGAAAGCACAATTAAGAAATTGTCGCAAAGGGACTGTAGGTGTAACGAGCAAAAGTATATCGCAAAAGCGAATTGAAATTATTTAAATGGTTCGAGGCTTCGCGCATGCGCATTAATGCGACAGAAAAGACGGCGGGAAAATGTTATGGGCGCAAATTTTGATGAATTTCGACGGATTTTAAAAAAGACGATCGATAAAAAAGACAGGATTAAATAATTAAACATAAATGTAGAAAAATAAATTAGAATTAATGAATTGTTAAAATAATGTGGAAGAAGAGGGAAACGAAAAAAAAATAAAAATTTTCACGCAGTGTATACATATAAAATCTTTTTTATTGCATGTAATAAAGTTATCACATATTGTGAAATAAAATTATCAAGCTATTTAAAATTATATAATTTTAGTAAATTTTTAAATAACTAATTTAAGTAAATAATTTAAAATATAATATAATAATAATTTAAATAATAATTTAAAATGTTAATAATTTAAAACAGTATTAGATACTGCAGGAATATCATTTTCACTATATATGCGTGAGAAAGGAAGCATTATAGGAACATTGCGTTCAAATTCAATTCACTTCTCGATGTTAAGATAACATGATTTGGAAGCTGACTGTTATGTATGTAATTGAGATGCCCAGAATATATTTTGATATAAAGTTGAACAGGAGGGAATTGGGTCTTTTCTTAAGATATATTGATTGTATAATAATAGCAAAAGTTATCGAAAGGGGAATATTATTTTTGTACTTATATTATTTGCAGCATGAAATAAATAGATTTAGATTCTAAAGAAATCAAAGTATAAATAAAATAACAGTGTTTTTAACATTTATAGAAAAAAAAATTATAATTTTCTTGAATCAATGACGAAAAATGCAAAAAAAGAATAATTTATAAGAAGATTTCGAATTATTATTTCAAATAATTTAAAAATATATAAAATATAAAAATAATTAATCATATATGTTAAATTGATACAAATTATTAATATAAGTTTAGTACAAAATATAAATCCTAAGCCAATAATTATAACATTAATGCTACGATATGCGATTTTTTCTCATAAGAATCAATTTTAAAAAGTTTAAAAATTAAATAATTTTTGAACAAGGATAATTATATTCAATTTTACACAGACATTCAGGAAAAAAGAAGAGAAAAATCAATAAAATTTTAAAGGGAATATTAAATACTTTTAAAGGGATAATTGATCCTTATTTAAGCTTAACAAACTCAGTTTTAAATTCGATATGATGCAAATGTTTACGTCTATACATAATATGCACGCACCCATGTATACATGTTTTTATGAATGATGTTTTTATGACGTAACAAGTTGTTGAAAAGTAAAAGCAAAGAATAACTTCATTAAGAAGGAGAGTAAGAGTAAAAAGACGAGAGAGAATGTGTGCCACAGTTTGTGCGTTGGAGGGATTTTCTCAGTAAAAAGAAATATGTGTGTATTATACATAAAAGTTATATTTTTAATGTATCGCAATAATAATAATTTTATTTTAATAGATAAATATCGATTAACATGTATATATGGGCGAATTAATTGACGTAAGGAAAATATGTAACAGATTTCTTACATATTCGTCACGCAATACAGAAACACAAAGATACAACACAAAGGTACAACACAAAGATAAATTATATAAAATTCACAAAAATTATTATTAGTCATCAAATTCTGCTCGATACGATCGAAAGTGTCAAATGTTCAATCAATATTTATTAATTTTGCGCAATAATGTAATTATTATCAAAAATGTCAAATTCAATTAATATTTATTAATTTTGCACGATAATGTAATTATTATATAGCAAGCAAAACCGCATCATAGGACACGTTATCAAACACGGATTAAACATTCGTGAAAAGCGTGTCACTTTGGAGTAAAAGTTGGACGTCCGGCGCGTCGACGACCGCGACGAACAAAGTTGACACCAACTCGCGCGTCGAATATTCTTCACGTCGGCTCTCCGCCTTTCTCTCTTGATGTCCGATTGTCAAAGCAAACCAGCGAAACTTTCAGGGTCAAGTTCGATTTCCGAAGCGTCCGCTCGCTCGCGCGCGCGGACTTCTTCTTACGCGAGGAATCTCACGCTTCGCGAAAGAATCGAGCTGGTCGGCGTCGCTCCATTTCGCCCGGGAAGAATGGCACAGCTGATCACAGGATCCTCTTGTCAGAATCTCCCAATTCGTACTTCACGCACCAGATAACTGTCGCTGCTCGATTAATTTCCTCCCCCCCCCCCTCTCCCCTCCGTGAGCTAAGCAAAAGTTATAAGGACTTTCATAAGAACTCCCGTTATTGTGAAATTAAGACGCGAGCTCCGCGAATAGCTCTCGTATTACCGATACGCCGATACGAAAATGTAAAATCGTTGCCCGTTTCCCTGACTCGCTTTCGCGCGAGTGAAATCATCTCGCGCGGGGACAACGGAGGATCCGAGGATGCTTAACGATCACCCGCCGCGCCGAGGTCGCGACTTTAATTAATTAATTAATGAACGCGTCCGGCGCGTGTCGGAAAGCGTGTAAACGCCGCCGCGAGGTCACCGGCGCGTCGTTGCTTTTCTTCTCGCCGCAAGAATTAAGTGGACCAAAGAAACCGTTCGTATCGGCTACGGAAGTGGGTTACCGGCGCGCGGCATCGCGCGAATTTGACGCACGATTAATTAGCCGAAAAAAAAGAAGAAGAAGAAGAGGACGTAATGGCACGTGCGCGATGGCGCCGCGAAATTTCGCGTTCGCTCCGCTCCGCGGATCGATATTCGATCTCGAATCGGCAAATTGCGTTTGAACGGCGCGTTGCACACGCCGGGAAATAAAATTTATTCCGGCGCGATTCTCAAAGCGAGGTTTCCGCGCTCGTAACGATTGTTCTGTCGAGCGATTCTGTGAGCAAAATAAAATCTCCGCCGGTGAAATGGAAATATTACGAAAGATGTAGATGTAAATGTAACTCTTTCCAGTTGGGTGTATGCTGAAAAATATGGAGATTGAAAAATTCCGAATCCACGTCTCCAATTATAATATTTGGAAACGTCAAACAATAAAAAAATAATTTTTCATCGCGCATTGCGTAATTTATTTGCATAGTTTATAATAGATAGGTATATTTATAAAAAAGAAAAACTTTTTATAAAAGTAAAAAGTTCTTTTTTAGATTCTTACTTATCTTGATGTCGTCGTCGTTGGTTATCAGGATAAGAAATGGAAGTGATATAAAGAGATTACAACAATAACAAGCATCTTTTTACTACAACGTTGTAATTAATGCATTTAATAGATCTCCGTCAGTTTATTCTTATTCTATAATAATCAGTTTCTTTCTTACTCTGAGTAGTGCCGCGCTACGATGATCATGACGTCGACTGTAATAATCATGATAACAATAATCAGAATAATAATCGTGAGCCGTTGCTTGTAAAATGGCATGGTACCTTCTAATCTATCTAAAATTCACGATAAAGAGCTACGAGATATCCTTATCACCTTTCCGTTCTTCATCTCTTGCGGAACGTTCAGGTGCTGATTTAAATCAGAATGGACCATTCAGCCTGTCATCCTCGGGCCATTTTACAATCGCACCGCTCGTGTATAACGTCGATAACGCTAGCAACAATCGTACAATAATGCGTATGTGAACAGAATGTTTAACTATGAAGGATACATAATATCGAGATAGTCGTATTCACGTTAAACCGTCTTCGAAGTTGTTTTTATGCGTGATCACACGCCGGAATAATTCAATCGTAAAATTTGTTCAACGTGAAAAATCACAGAGAGTGCCTCGATCTCTCCTCGAATGATAACGAAATTAAAATCACAGATTCAGGAATTTCTTCGGTCATCATAATCATCGTCATCGTCTCTAATAGGAAATACCACGACGATCTTATCGTCAGTGCATTTTCCTGCGGTATCGTTCTCGAGGAAGAATCTCTCGAGTCTTTTGTGATGTAATCTTACATCGGAGAAGAGATACCTCTAGTCGTCGACAATCTGATATCGATCGTTTCGTAGTAATGCTCGAGATGCAACTTCGAACTCGGTTTAACAGCAATATACGGACCGGCGATTCTCGCAGATGTTCGCTTTCATTTCTCCACACGGCTAAACTCTAAACTCGCATTTATATTCTATGCTCCAGGTAAAATTGCCTAAGAATGCGCCGATAGACGATAACCCGAGTGACTATCAAGTGCCGAGTTACGTTTGTAATATCGTAGAAATGTGGTAATTATCGACATCGATATTTTAATTGCGTTAATGGAATTTTAAAAAGCGGTGTAAATAAGAGATATGAGGTGCACTTTGAACGAATAAGATTTTAAGTTGCCTCAAATAACATACGTATGAGCCAAAGTGTAAACAAGATGTGATAGTAAATATAAATTGAGAAGTCGTGTAGTAAAAACGAAAAAAATTTGATTAAAATTAAAAAAGAATTTTATATTAAGGCGAATATAAAACTGAAAAATATAAAGAAGCTGCCTTGTCCGTACAAATTAAGGCAAAATAACTTTGAAGAGCTAAAAATAAGATACGTATCTTTGTTATACGTATCTTCTGATCATATCTTTTTCTCCAATAATCGCTACTATTAATCAATAATGTTTATCATTGATCAATAATAATTATTATTTTGAACACAGTTCACTTTTAGATTTTTCAACGTCTTCAAAGCTTACCAAGCTCTATTTTTGCTCTACTTTTTTTTCTGCTGGCCGAAAATCCAAACTTTAATACGCGACATAACACATCATACAATACGTAATAATTAATCTATATTTTTATACAACTCGTCGTAATATACTATATAATATATAATAATAATGATCATACAACTAACAATTTTAATGACGTTACTCATCTTCGAGAGACATCCACCCCGGGCGAGATCGGTGTCTTTATAAACGTCTCACTACGATTAACTATGCAAGATATTCAAATGCAAAATGTTCCTTAAGAACGTGTAACCACTCACGCGATGAGAGACACGATTTATTAAATTAACATGTTCCGCGACTCCTATTATATATAGATTCTGTATTTGTATCATTCATATATTATTTACTTTTATTCATTCATCTTTATTATATATATATAATTTCTCTTTCTGTATTTCTCTTTCTCTCTCTCTCTC